AGGCTCCAAATTTAGAACTTCATATATCGGGGCCAGCACTGTGGTGTAGCAGGTAAAACCGCCAACTGCAGTGCCGGCATCCCATATGGGCACTGGTTTATGTCCCAGCTGCTACACTTCCGATCCAACTCTCTGCTATGGCCTAGGAAGGCAGTACAAGATGGTCCAAGTCTTGGGCCCCTGCACCCACGTGGGAAACCCGGAAGAAACTCCTGGCTCCTGGCTTCAGATCAGCACAGCTCCAGCTGTTGTGGCCAATTGGAGAGTGAACCAGCGGATGGAAGACCTCTCTCTCTCTCTCTCTCTCTCTCTCTCTGCCTCTCCTTCTCTCTCTGTGTAACTTTTTTTTAAGATTTATTTATTTGAAAGAGTTACAGAGAGAGGCAGAGACAGAGAGAGGCCTTCCATCTGCTGGTCCACTCCCCAGATGGCTCCAACAGCTGGAGCTGTGCCAATCCAAAGCCAGGAGCCAGGAGCTTCTTCCAGGGCTCCCACATGGACTCAGGGGCCCAAGAACTTGGGCCATCTTCCACTGCTTCCCCAGGCCATAGCAGAGAGCTGGTCGGAACAGGAGCAGCCAGAACTAGAACCAATGTCCATGTGGGATGCCGGCGTTTCAGGCCAGGGCACTAACTCGCTGCGCCACAGTGCCTGCCCCATCTGGCTTTCGAATAAATAAAATACATCTTAAAAAAAAAAAAAAAGCAGAACATAGGAGAAAGGGTATTATCTAATTTATTTAGTTATTAGCATGGAAATAGGTTGCCATACTGCAACAAACTCAAAATGAGCTAAAGTGCTAAGTATGTATTTTTTTCCTACTTTACTTTTTTATTCTGCCCATCAATGAGCTAGAAAACAGGGAGAGGTGCAGGGGTAGCAATCAGCCCATCCCACTTTCTCTCAGACAAGATCTCCAAGACCCAGGAGAAAAGGCTGGAATGCAGTTCCGTGGACTTAACTTGCTTCTGGGCCTTTTCCAGAGCCTTTCTGTCCAGCTGTTGCTGGCCAACGATGACAGAGCACCCACGACAGCACCTGCGAATTTCCAGGGCAAGTACTGCACCGCCACAGCTCAGCAGCAGCGTCTGACCCCACCCCTTGCAGATGAGCTGCATGTGATCTTCCCCACAAACCTGCGGACCCACACTCAGGGGTGTTAGCCGGGAGACTGCAACAGGGAGTACCATCACAGACTCTTCTGCCAGCTCCTGTGGTGCAGGGAGCCTCCGTGTAGCACCAGCAGAGGGGTGGCACTGGGGGAGGCCAGACCGCCCCACCCCACCCCACAGGCCTGGTCATACCTGTGGAAGAAGGACCTGCTCGACTGGCCTCGCGCCTCAGCCAGGGAGCACAGGTGGCACATCCGCTGCAGCCCTCCAGGTTCCAGGCCAGGGCAGTGACTCTTTCTGGCTGGCCTCATGGTCCAGAGAAGCCTGGAGGCATCTGCTGACGAGGCCTGCGGGGCCCTGGAAGGAGCACACCCTGGCCTGGGACCGGCTCACCTTGGCCTCTGCCCACGGTGCTGCTGAGCTGGTTTAAAAATGTGCTTTACAGTAGAAGATAAAATACCAACTTCAATACAAACTTCATTCCAGCATGCACACACAAAAAATAATTTCTAAGTCCCAAAGATGTAAGATATCATTGGAGATAAGACTGGAACACCCCAAGGTCTTGTTCAAATCACACTGCCTCCATAAATTCTTTCCCAACTGCTCCAACTCAAGAAAAAAATAAAGGGGAAACTGCTGTCCCCTGTGAACATGAGCCTCACGTCACCCGAACTGTTTCCACGGCCCTCCCCATTTCTCCATGCCGCACAGCACTGATGTTCCTACTCTGCACCCCCAGTAAGACTGCAGCAGATGGCTTTACGGTTGTTTTCATCTTAATAACCCCTTAAAGAAAACTGACATTCTAAAACTAATTCTTGAACTGACAATCTGAATACAAAACAAATGATCCTGAAAAAATATGTTCACAAAAGCATCCATGAATGTATAAAAGTATCCATGAATAAAGACAAAGGTAAACTACTACTTTCTAAAATATTACTGAGAATGCATCAAGTTGACACTAGGTTTTAACTGACACCAGCAAGAGTGAGGAGGAGCAGATTCTGCACACCTGGGAAAACACAACCGTGTGCCAGGCATTAAAGGTCCATTTTCACACAACTCTGCCCCACTATTAAATTAATAAAAAATAAGCTAAACCCAAAGTGGGTGGAGGAAAACCTACAAATCATGAACTAAGTGACTCCGCTGTTTTGAGGAGTAGCCTGCTAACACCTGGGGTCAGATCCCGCTGTCACCCAGTGAGCCCACTTCGGGGAGCAGGTGCTACGACTTCAGCACCCCTCCCTTTTCATGGGCCTCTTCCCTGCTTCACCTGTAGCACTGACCCTGACCTCACCCTCCGCTACCTTTCAATTCTGTTGACTCTCCATCCCTCCACAATATCAGTTCTCTGAGCTCCATGAGTGACCTGATCCATCAACATAAGGAAGCAACAGCTGCTTATCCCCGACTCCCAAATAGGTAGCGCAGATAAAATTCACAACAGTATAACTGTTAACTATGAAAACCAGAGGCCACCTGAAGAACTAAGAAAATGAGAATTTGACACCATAAAATGCTGAACAGAGATAAAACCACAAAATTTAGTGAAAACATTTATAAAGTGACTAAGTACAACTGCAATATGTATTATCATATGAAAGATAAGCTTTGCTGTTCAGTACTGTAGCTCAAATGAAGGCTGGATAAATACCGAAGTAATAATATTCATTAGATCCTTTGAAGAACCACTCTCCTAAATTACTTCTGTTTACAATTTCTATTTTTTTATTTTTATTTTTTAATTTTTTGACAGGCAGAGTGGACAGTGAGAGAGAGAGAGAGAGAGAGAAAGGTCTTCCTTTGCCGTTGGTTCACCCTCCAATGGCCGCCGCGGCCGGCGCGCTGCGGCTGGCGCACCGCGCTGATCCGATGGCAGGAGCCAGGTGCCTCTCCTGGTCTCCCATGTGGGTGCAGGGCCCAAGCACTTGGGCCATCCTCCACTGCACTCCCTGGCCACAGCAGAGAGCTGGCCTGGAAGAGGGGCAACTGGGACAGAATCTGGCACCCCGACCGGGACTAGAACCTGGTGTGCCGGCGCCGCAAGGTGGAGGATTAGCCTAGTGAGCTGCGGCGCCGGCCCTACAATTTCTAAATACTCTATCAGGGATGAAATATTTTTAAACAAAAGCAGCCATCGTTTCAGTGGGGTAACCTACCTAACAGTGTGATTTGGAAGGAAGGGTGATAAACAGTTTCTGTTTATAAAGATTAAGGAAGGTAAAAGTAAAGAGACAAGGATGCCTGTACCCATCTTCAGCAGACGCCTCTGGTTTCCACCGTGAGGCAACCTTGATTGAGTGGCTGGTTGGGACCAGCTGTCGCCTACCCCTCTTGTAGTCTTCACCAGGGAGGGAAACACCGGTTCCTCGCCAAGGCCCCATCCTGCAAGAACACTGCCTCCCCTCAATGAGACTGTACACACCTGTGCTTCACATAGGGCCTCGCGTGACCAAGGGCCTGGTGTCAGGTCCTCAATGGCCAGGACTCTGAAAAGGAGCAAGGCAGTGGAGAGAAAAGGTCACACCTGCCAGTGGGAAGCCTGTGCCTGGTTTCTGTGAATGTCGGTCAGCAAGTGTGGACTTCGGAGTCAGGCCCTGTTACCTACAGCAGCTCTAAGCTCTGAGTGTGCTTCCAAATCTCTCTAAGCCTATTTTCTCACTGGACTTAAGCACCCTTGCAAGATGAAGATGACAACTAAGCGATAATCCAGGGTTGGGCATGTGGCCTAGTGGTTGAAGATACTGGTTAAGATGCCTGCATCCCACGTCAGAGTGCCTGGGTTCAGCTCCTGGCTCTGGCTCCTGAATCCAGCTTCCTGCTGATACAGATCAGGAGAGACAGTGGTGATAAACCGGGTGACTGGGTTCCTGCCACCCGTGTAAGAGACCTGCCTGAGTTCCTGGATCCCAGTTTTGTCCTGGCCAGGCGGCCACCGTGGGCATTTGGGGAATGAACCAGCTTTTTCTGTCTCTTTCAAATTAAAAAACAAAAAACAAGCAAACAAACAAGAAAAAAAAAAACAACTAGAAAAAAAGAGAGCTAGAGAGCGAGAAACAGAGGCCCCAATATGGGAACTCACTTTAATGCAGCCACGATTACACTAACTGTCACCCTGGGCACTGCCATCCAGAAGCATCTCGTGGGCACATTCATGCTCACTCTGGCTCTACAAGACACAATCACAAAGAACGGGCAGTTGGAGCCAGACTGTATTTACAAGGCAAGCTTCAAAGGCTCTTTCCACTAGGATTCAACATCCCGTCTCTCCCAGCACAGGCAGGGGTGTGGATTCCTCACGGTGTTTTCTGAACAGGGCTCAGAAGAGCAAAGGCACACCATGGCTGCACAGTCTAGCCGGGTCCCAGTGGAGCTGCCAGCCCAGCCTGAAACAGCACCAACAAAGACGTAAAGACCCCTTCCTGCTCGGTTGCTTTATCTTCCATGTCCGAACAGTCCGAGGTAGCTTCAGCTGCTCCTAAGTCAGGTCACAGGATGGCAGGAGACATTCCTCTTGCGAAAAAGGACACATTCTTGTCCTGTATCTTGTACTGGAAAGTGAGGCTCCGATCCCGCCGGGCTGTGGACTGTGAGGGCCTCCTCCACAGGATCCTCAGCTGCAGAGACAGAGCAGAATGAAGGAGCGGTCCCAAGCCCCTGCTCCACTGTGGACCCCATCCTGCCCTCTCCACAGCCTTTGACTGGGCCACCTCTGAGATCCCAGTGAGACACACCACAAGGCAATGGGACCAGTTCCTAAAATACAGCTTACTAGCAGCCAGCTAGAAATGAGGGCTGCCACGGTGTGACAACAGTCACATTTTCTCTTACAGAAAATACAAAAGAGAAAGAAAAGTGAAAAGAAGAAAAGTCCTCCAGAGAGAAACCACAGAGGTAGTTTTACGTACTCCCCTTGTTCTCTCAGCGCGTGGATTTGTACTGCTGCCTAGTCTGTGAAAATGCACACATTACTGCTCGCAGGTCCCATGCAGGGCCACAGGGAGGCTGCGTGTGTATGCTGATGATGTTTCTGTGGACAGAACTGCTCGGGGGACCGGCTGCAAAGACCTCCGCTGCCTGTTGTACCCGTCTCCTCATGCTGGGCGACCAACGCTATGACGGCACTGCTGGGCTTGTGCTTTTGCGTCACCTACTGGACTGATCCCTGAATAACTCAGGGCCAAGACTCCCAACCACCTGTACCACGTCAGGAGTGGTCAACAGGGCGGGCGTTGCGAGCAGTGGTGAAGATGCCACTTGGAACATCAGCATCCAACGCTGGAGTGCCTGGGTTTGAGTCCTGGCTCCGTGTTCGATTCTAGCTTCATGCTAGTGTACATCCTGGGAGGAAGCGGGTGATGGCTCAAGTATTTGGGTGCCTGCCACCCATGTACAGGGCCCAAACTGAGTTCCAGGCTCCTGGGTTAAACCTGGTCTAGACCTAGCTATTGCAGGCATTTAGGGAATGAACAAATGAATAAAAAATCTGACTCTGTCTCTCAAATAAAATGAAAGAAAAAAAAAAAAAGGCGTGTTCAAAATGAAGGTAACGGGCTGGTGTTACAGCACAGTGGGTTATGCTGCCACTTGCAATCCTATATGCGAGTGCCAGTTTTGAGTCCTGGCTGCTCCAGTTCTGATCCACCTCCCTACTAACGCATCTGGGAAAGATGCCAAACACAGCTCCAGTGCTCAGGCCCCTGCCACCTATGTGGGAGGCAACGGTGACTGCCTCGCTTCTGGCTTCCATCTGGCCCAACCCAGGCTGTTGCAGCTGTTTCAAGAGTGAATCAGCAGGTGGAAGATTTCTCTTTGTGTGTGTGTTTCTCTCTCTCTCTCTCTCACTCTGCTTTTTAAATAAACAATCTTAAAAAAAAAAAAAAAGAAAAGAAAAAGTAAACTGGCAGTTAGGTGCAGTCTCAGGCTGATTCCGAAAGAACCGTGTGAGAAGGCACAGAGCCACACGGGCCCGTCCCGGGGCAGAAGCAACTTGCTTCCCAGGGCAGATCTCTCAGCTCCTGCCCGAGGCTCTGAACGTTCCGCAACAGCAGCGGTGGGCGTGGCGGCACTCAAGTCCATGGCTACGGCCCCTCAAGCCTTCATTACAAAATAAAACAGGGCTCACCGGAACTGACAGAGCCTGTCACAGCCTGCAGAGGACTTCTGCTGTTCTCTGCAGCCGGAGCCCTGGGTCCACTCCTGACAGCTGGCTCCCTTTTGGGAGAGCTCTCCTTTGATCCCAGAGGGAACTCTGCGGGCCTGACACTTTCGTCCGTGCAGTCTGGACTCAGGCACGGCAACTGTAGCCCAGTAAGCCCATTTACCTGCCCGTGCACATCCTTGCAGAAGCCAGTGGCCAGGCCCTCGGTCCGCAGGATAAGGTGGCTCTGATGACTGAGACCAATCAGCAGGGTGTTGTTTTCCTCATCTTCCGCGTCTCCACTGTCATGCACAAGGGCCACCATGTTTCCCTACAACACACAGGATGGAAATCTGCTCCTACTGGAAGGGACAACGAGGCCAGGGAGTCCTGGGCTCTCCACTCCCTTGTCCACTCTCTCACAGGTCCCCCTCCCTGCTGCTGCGTAAACAGCCCCTCTGCAGGAAGGACCCCTGCCTGCAGGGATCCTGCCCGTTTACTGGACTCATGCAGCTTGTGTGTCTAGCTCAGTTCATCTAAAACCAAGCTTACTCCATGGCCTTGAATTCCCGAGTGGTATTAAAAATGCCAACGTAGGCCGGCGCCGCGGCTCACTAGGCTAATCCTCCGCCTAGCGGCGCCGGCACACCGGGTTCTAGTCCCGGTCGGGGCGCCGGATTCTGTCCCGGTTGCCCCTCTTCCAGGCCAGCCCTCTGCTGTGGCCAGGGAGTGCAGTGGAGGATGGCCCAGGTGCTTGGCCCTGCACCCCATGGAGACCAGGAAAAGCACCTGA